TATATCGATATCAGCGGTAATATAGCCATTTTTACAGATAAACATATATTTTGTCCGTATTTATTTCGAGCCCTAGTTCATTGCCGGTTTTCATCAACGTTGCCGTATTTAGTTTTATAGTTCCCGCGTCATCGTTACAACAGGTTTGTACATCTTATACAGATATACAAATATATATTTCTAATACACTGACTGTACATAACAGAAATAGAAATAAGTTGGGTAGCATTTACAATTTGATTTTTTTTTTCGTGACGTTCTGGTTTTACCGAATCATGAGGTAGGGTATATTTGTCTTACTTGTATTTTATATGTTATTATTGGTACATTACTGTAGTGTATTTTTTTTAGTATCGATGCTTCTAAATTTTTCAGAAGCCTGAGGGACTATAAACTTCTTTGTGGGGAACAACCTGTTGGGCTCAAATTAATTCTACGATCACTTTTTTCATATTTTTTATGAACCTTTTTTTTAACGGTAGCATTTCTCATATATTTCAAAATCAATTATGGGTGTGTTTATCCTATATAATGTATCCTAGTGCTAAATTAACATGTTAATTTACAGTAGTTGCGTTAATACTATAGTAGTTATTTGGCCTTATATCAATTACATGTTAAAAGAAAATTAGTTATTTCTGTCTTGTCTATGTGTTAACATAAACACATAATTAACATTCTAAAAGTAATTTGTTATTCTGATAGTTATAGGGTGAGCATGATATATAAATTGTAGTTATAAAGTTAATGCTTTTGTTATTTATTTGTATTAAACTGTATTCTTAAAGGATGTTTGGCGCATTCCGGCGATTGAATTTTTAAGAAATACATATTTGTAGCCTTTATAGAATGTTAGCTTATCCCTACATTTCCAGATAAATAGGTGTGTGCTGAGAATTCTCCTGCAATGGATCTTGAGCTATAACTTATACATTAATACCTTGTTTTCATTCACGTTTGAAATTGTTTTCTGTGAAACAGTATTCTTATCATGATCCTTAAAACAACACAATTAACATTATCTTTGTAGTTATCGCATTGTTTATATGCAAATAGTTAATTATACAAGTGTATTTGTTATTAACTGATTAGCATTTCATTAGAAACAATGACTCATGTTTTTAACATGACATAGAGAGTTATTGACAACGTTTTCGAAATTCATAAATAGCATCCCATTGCACAATTTATTTTAATAATCTGTTTCTAAATTAAATTAACATTTTCCTTTTTATCAAACTATTAACACCCGCCTGAAACTTCGTAAGCAACTTCACCTGATCGTAACAGTTTAGGCAACTTTCCAAATTTTAATAACTTATTGTTAAGAAAGCTAGAATGACATTAAAACTCTTAATGATAAAACAAACAGTAAACAAATTGATAATCAGAGGTTACACTCAATTATTAATTAACTCAGATCCGACTATGATATAACATGGACAAAAAATTAACAATAATAATTTGAGAAGGAAAAATATAGCTCTAAAATAGCAAGTAGCTGGTAACCTACAAGAGAATGTTATCGATAATTCAAAAAAACCTTTTAGAAGATCATTACAAATAGATAATATTCCTTTCAACGAGATTGAAAACTTATTTTCTATCATTAGAGAAGTTGCAGAGAAAGTCGAGCTAGATCTCACACCCGATACTCATTGAAAGAAATCCAATAATACATAATATCCTCCGTCGATATTTACAAACGTAAATATCTATTTCTCCCTCAGTAAGAAATTAATTCATAACTAAATTTTTAAAAAAATCAATCGAAAACTCTATGAAGTAATAAAATTTATATAATCGAAATGCTTTTACCGGCTAAACTATCCATATTTCAAAGAGCCCGAATACTATAAAAGGATGGAAAAATCAACCAAATCTGGATCAGGAGTGACACCTTATTGGTAAAGATAATAAAGAAGAATCTACCGTTTTAACATCTTTTAATTATATCAATTTATTGGAGAACTAGTGGAACCACAACAAATAATAGATCTCGGCTACAGACTCGGAAATAGATGATATGGCTTTAATATAAAAATTCATATAATTTAATATGAAAATTCACCCGCGCAACTTTCTAATTCACAGCTTAAAAAGAAAAAAAAAAAATCAGCTGATCAAGTACTATAAACCCTTTCTATATAAACAGATACAAATAACCCAAACAAAACAGTAAATAAAATCCAAACAAAACCTAGCGTCCATAGAGATAAACATATAAAAATGCGCATCCAAGGATAGAATAAACTCACTGAATACATTATTCTGGAATGTTCAGGGATTTTTCTCACTTAGAAGCCCCGGTCATATAGAAATTAATATAATTGCTAATTTGCTCACCATTTGTTTTACGGAAACATGGCTATTATAACAATGTTATAAAACCAAGATTTTTATATTAAGGAAGGAGATGGTCCGGGGTAGCGATCATAAATAGACTAAATAGTGGCAAAACTATTTTATTATTAGCCAACGTTTTGACCCGACTTTGCAGGACTTCTTCAGGGAGATGTGAGGTGTGAAACTCCTTGCTGAACAAACCTACCTGAAGAAGACCTGCAAAGTCGGGTCGAAACGTTGGCTTTTAATAAAATAGTTTTGCCACTATTTAGGCTATTGATGACCACCACCCCGGACCATCTCCTTTCTTATTAATACTATTAAGTATTGAAAGTTTTTAAATGATTTTTATGATGTGGATGTATATCATCGATATTTTCGCCTAAAGTTCTACTATTAGTATTATTATAATTTATAGAATTTTAATGTGTAAATAAAAATGTCAAGTATTTAGTTTATTTATTATCTTTATTTTGTAAATATTTTTGTATGTATTGTATTCAATTTATAAGAAAAAACTTAATATTACTTTTGGCTTACATAATTACTATCGCATTGTTAAACAACCAACTCCTTGCTGTAAGATATTCTTTAAAAGCAATAAATTCATTTATTCATTCATTTTGTAATCAAATTATCTTACGATTTGAGTGGAGATGGGTGTTGACCTATTTTTAGTACTAATTAAATAAACAAAAAACAAAAAAAATTCGTAAATAAAAAATCCATATGTTCTTGTTTTAGGTGAAAATTTTCTAATATTATAAAATAAGGCTCTGTTTATTTTTTTTTTCACCATATTTATTTTAATTTTAATAGCTACGTTTCGTCCGGAAAGCCATCCTCAAGCCATTTTATGCAACCATGCTTTTTGCATGTAGTACAAAGTCTGATAATCAGACTTTGGACTACATGCAAAAAGCATGGTTGGATAAAATGGCTTGAGGATGGCTTACCGGCCGAAACGTAGTTATGAAAATTAAAATAAATATACTGAAAAAAGAAACAGAGCCTTATTTTATAATAGTAAATAAAAAAGTAGTTGTTCACTATGTAATGAAGCTATTACGAAGTTTTAAGCGGATGTTAATAATTTGATAAAAAGGAGTCTGTATCATGATGTATTTAACATCATAATATGATGTATCAATATATATTTAACATTTTAAATCATGTAAAAAAATACCTTCATATTTTTCAATTAGAATTCAGCCATAGTGAAATGCCTAATTATTGGTTCTATAATTAGTAGTAAAATAAAAATCTGTCATCATTAAATCAAGTATGTACCTTGGATTATAAAACTGTCTACTATTATAGCTATGGGCATTAAACGTACCAACTGAGGCAAGTTTAAGCCTTCACAAAAATACTATTTCCTCGAAAGGATAGGTTGTATAGAAACCTAACATATATGGGGGTCTTATAGTTTCTTTTAGAGGTACAGTGGACGATTTGATCATTAAAAATAACAAATAAAATATGGTTAATTGGACTGCATTTAAGAAAGGGGTGGGAGCATGCATATTCACATTGCACATATTTTCAGTAAACTCAAGTCAGGGCTTAATGAGCTTGGAAATCTAAAAACTTTCAATTAAGTATTTATTCTTTATGACTAGTTGCTCGGGGGGTGCGGTCAAATAAACACTAAATTTTCAAAATAGTGTTTTAATCGTAAAGCCGACGTTCCGACCCACTTTGTAGGTCTTCATCAGGGCTACAAAAGATACAAAATATAAAATGTACCAGGTGAAAATAAAATAAATGAATTATAGGTAGATGTTAAATAAGAAACAGTTGGCTGATAAAAAAATAATAATATGACATCAGAGATATGGTGGGTGACAGAGCAGTTAAAATATGAAGTATTACATATATAGAAGATACAAACAAAAATAGAAAATAAGTATGAATAAAAATAGAAAACAAAGGTGAATAAGTTAAAAGTAAACGGATTGTGATAAAATATAAGAAATGAATGTGTTACTAACTGGTAAAGGTTACCTTTGATAACGTTGTAAACGTCGTATTTATTTGACGACACCCCTCTCCCCCCCCCCTCCCACCCCGACCAACTCCTTCTCATATTATATTACGGTCACCCATCTCTACATCATTATTTCTTCTTTATAAGATTTTCGGCCCAGGGTATCAAAAATTCTTGAAATAACAAATATTTAAAACTTGATTCATTTGGTTCGTTTCTGAATTTTGTACAAGTTGAATTATATTTTTATGTTTGGTACCATATTATGTACTATTCTTAAAATGATTTTTGGCGAAGGGTCACCAAAATTGAAATTTTAATTGTCCCAAAGCACATTTCACACATGAATATATGATTTTAAAATAAACTTCTTCAACTTATTATTTTTATCATTGATTAACTGTAATTGTTTATTTCATAAAACCATTCATACTATTGGTGTTGTGACTAATCCGACATTTTGCTGTATATTTTGTCAATTGGGATGTATTTTATAGTTGTTTCCTTTTGCTTATTTACAATAATTGGTTGAAAAACTAGATACGTAACGTTTATATAATGTTATCATGATCTTCACCGAATCGATTGTTCTACTAATTCTGGACGGAATGATGTAGTTCGGTGTTTGTGGCTTCCCCAGGCACCTGCTAAGACAGATAGGCCCCTATTCAGGGATTTGTTTATATACATACATAGGAGGAGAGGTCCGAAGATATCCGAAGATAGCCGACCCACCCTCTCCCGTCCTTCGGCTTGTCTGGTTGAACCAGTCTTGGCTCGAGTGCGCGAGTGTTGGTCTCTCGTGTGGTCTGTCTGCCGTATCCCCACTTCGCTCATCCTAGGACTTAACGAAAATATTAAGTACGTAATACCATATTGTAACACCATATATATTATTATATGTACGTCATAATGGTTTCCTTTATGTAAAGTTATTATCAAATAATGCTAATTGATGTCAAGTTGTTTGTTCTGTAAAGTATAAATGAATTATTTACTCTGTATTCAACTTCGTTTTTTTTTTTTTTCGCTTTGTTTTTAATAAATTATCTGTCAGATTTTTCTTCTATGTGTCTTAAAATAATTTAAGATTGTTTTTTTTTTTAATATTGCATCTAGCTATAATTCTTAAATACAAATTAATTTATTTACAGAGATAATTTATAAAATTATGGAGATTAGTAAATTTGTTTTAAAAATAGTCGAATATTTTTTTATTGAGTACTATTTGATCAATTAAATTCAGTTATTCCCGCCAATCTTTCTTATTCTAAATTTTAAAAAATGTGCAATGCAAAATTATGTTACTATTGTTTATATTGCTTTTATTCACTGTCGTCGAGTAATCATGAATTTTTGCCGTGAATCCGACAGTTGGTCCTTTACCACAAACACTTGGTGTCGCAAGGCCGTTGCAGACGCCTGAGGCCGCTGATAAATATATGTAATCGAGTACACTAGAAAGCGGGCGGGGTAGATCCAGGATGACTGTTGCGTACGACCTTATGTCTCGAAGAGAGGATGCCGGAGGAGAGCGAAGGAAAAGGGCCCGAAATACCCTCGCCTAACTGACTATTTATAGTAAAGAGCGTCTGCTCCGGCGGTCGGAAGTGCCGGCACCCAGTGGTCTTCGATCTAGGGCCTCGGGAAGGACCAGCTGCTGGATGACCTCCTTACTCTTGTGCAACGCGTCCTCGCCAACTCCTCATCTTCGCCGAGGGGTTTCCCACGGTCGTGTCTGTCCGGAGAGATTGACCATACCCGATACGGATGACATCGATCACAATCTTCTTCTCTGGCATCAATATTACTAAAAGGATGGCAATAACTTCAAAATAAACACATACAAGAACTCAGGCTGATTCCTATTATATAAAAAAAAAAAATAGTACGTATTTGAAAAAAAATATGGTCTAATAAAGTGGTAAGGAAGATCCACGGACCGGTGGCATTAATAAAAAAATACTTATTATGAAATAGGTCTTCTAGTCCATCAATACTTAAAACATAAACGAAATTACTGACCACCAATGCAACAACTTGACAAATAATCATTACGTTACCCATTATTGAAGCAAATTTTGCACTAAGAAAGAGAATAATGGTGTACATGCAACAAAAATACTAAAAACTTTCAGAAAATCAAAACTAAATAGCCAAAAATACTTGAAACAATACAATCCTGAGAGATTGACCATACCTGATGCGGATGACATTGCTCTCAATCTTCTTATCCGGCATCAATATTACTTAAAGGATATTAATAACTTCAAAATCAATAAATACAAGAACTCATGCGTATTCCTGATGTAAACAAAAATTCAGTGTCTATTAAAAAAAAAAAATATGGTCTAATAAAGTGGTAATGAAAATACACTGACCGGTTGCATTAATAAAAAAAAATTACATATTATGAAATAGGTCTTCTAGTCCCTGTATCAATGAAAACAATCTTGAAAAAATACTTAGAACATAAATAAAGTTACAGACGACGCAACAACATGACAAATAATTTTTAAGTTACCCATTATTGGCTCAAATTTTGCAATAAGAAACAGAATTAGTGTATTCATACAACAAAAATACTAAAAACTTTCGGAAAATAGAAACGAAATATTCAAAAATATTTTAAACAATACAATAAGCACAATGTTTCATTTTAAATTATTGGGGTCGAATAACCGAATGCATCTGTAATAATCGCGTTGCCTGGCAACCTACCAGATGTTTAGGGGTTCGATTCCCGTTGTCGGGGTTATTTAACTCAGGTATTAATTCCCAGCCCTCACCATAGGTGTGGGGAAAACCCGTATAACCGAAAAGGCAAGGTAAGGAGGAAAAAATAGTAAATTTCAAATTACACAATATATTTACTCATATTATTTCTTCAACAGCAGAAATGACCATTAAATACAATTGATACCACTATTACTTCCGATTTCATTCCAACTCATTACTTTAATTCTATAATCTGAAATCCTGGACGTCGATTAAAAGTTATGTGTCCCATGGGCTTTCGATGAAATTTTTTTTTCATTCCATTTTATATTTTAAACAAGTCCTAGGTCAAATCACACAAGTTACAGATTTCCCAGGTGCGTTGTACGATATTGAAACATTTTCATTTTAGATAATAATACATATCAATCATATTACATGTTATACATTACGATCTAAAATGAATTGTGTCTGATATTAATTCTATTGGGCACGATCCCAAGTTGGTATTGCCTGTTATTGTGTTTCTTTAGAAAGTGAAAAAATCTACACTCATAAGTTGTAGACAACGTATATATAGAGATTAAAAGTTTAAAAATGCTATCCATATATTATCAGATTAAGAATTGTTTTTCCTTGGTGGGAACTCTATGAGAGTTGTATGGTCGACCTCCTATTGACGGAGACCAAATGCAAGCCAATGCTGTTGGTGAAAGCACTCCTCGTAAGAAATAAACAATGCCATGCACGGAATGAACTAAATGAGAAATCCTCTTTAAGCTTCACCGTGCTTCTCTTAAATGCCTCTCAAATCAAAAATACAATGAATAATCAGGGGGTCATCAATGAATAAAATTGGCTTTCAGTGAACAAGATCGGTTGGTTGCATCAGAAATTTTATTTACCTATTATATTCAAAAGCATAGAGGTAGATTAATCAAGTATAATAATTGTATTTTTATGAGGTCCTAATAATTTAAAACAGATTTTAAATTCTACATACGGTTGACTTTTCTTGACCCATCATGGACTATTGTTAGGAAGTTTATGTCAGATTCTTTCGGGTATACATGTCATTTAATTTTAGCCGTTCTGTAAATAAACACTTGAAATCACGACAACAAAAATAGTTTATTGCTGCCTTATCTATAAAAAACTTTAGTTCGTATTGCGATTCCAAAATTACATAGCTTCAATTTGGCCTTCGTTCAAACTGGAACGACGTCCTAATGTCTAACTTTTAAATTATATATTTTATTATAGCTGGATTTCAATTCCATATTCATGTATATATAAGCACTGTTTGCTGTTCCTTAATATTTCATATTTCAAATGCTAGTTTTCTCATACATCGAAGTCAGATACGGATTTGTCGCCCCCTCCCCCTCTCACATTGTTCATATGTTCACATTACAATCTACACACTCCTTGTTTTTTTTAAAAATAGTTTTACATGTTTCTCAATTTCTGGGATCTGTAGTAATTACCTTCTTCGAAGAAAAAAAAAACATATCTTATTTATTTATTTTTTAATATGAATGTCTGGTTTCAAATAAATAATGTTTATACCTGTTTATACATAAAAATTCATTTTCACTAACAAGTGATTATTATCTTTAATCGGCCTGTTAATTTATAAGTTATAAATAAAAATGTTTTAATAGTCACAGACTATAATATTATAAATAATGAAACATGTGCTCTGGACTTAAATTAATTAAATAAATCTTTAAATCTCTTAGCTATTTCATTGATACAGAGACAGGAAACCGCCGCCCCCCCCCCCCCCCTTCATTAATTTTTTTTCTTGAAAATATACTGTCAACCATTTGAAAATAAAATTGATATTCTGGCAAGATTGGTTTAATATATAAATAGATGGAAACATTAGAAATATATAAGATGAATTTTCAGAAAGAAAAAAAAATAGATTAAATAGGTTATAAATTTTACTATGTATGGTAATTGATTTTATATATTTTTTTTTTGACATTTTTGTGATCATTCGTAAAGAAAGCAAAATAATAAAACCCCCTTTTTGCTCTATGATTAAATATCATAACAGACTTCCTACTAAATTCTGAATTTATAGGATTTCCTTAGTTCCTGGCTATTTTGAAGAATTTATTAATAATCAAATCTTCTCAGGTAATAGATGATAAATTTCCGCCTAAGAAAATCTTTAAATTAAATATTTAATTAAATACTAAATATTTAAATTAAAATCTTTAAAAGAAACATCCGTCGGCAGAATAAAGACAGTTCATTTTTTGTTTTTTTATCACGTGTTGCCTCTTAAGAATACCGCAGGTCAATGAGGTGACATTCGTTCAAAATTAGGAGATGTCCTAATAACACTTATTAGGATCTTACACGACTGAATGGAACCTCCAAATAAACAGTTGTTTAAGATCTTTATAACCAAAATAACGTTTTATAACATAAAATTAGTAAATAAAACATAATTAAGAAATTGTCACTAATTATATGAATTAATTAGTGACAATTTCAGTGATAAGTGCTCGAAAATCAACCTCCTATTTAAGAAACCGTAGTAGCTTTGGGCCAGAAGGGCAGGATGGTTATGCCACTACATCTTCTCGGTACTTCATGCTAAGCCACTGAATAGTCACTTTTTTGATGAATCTTTTTTCCTCGAAACGCATGTTCCATTGTTTCATCTTTAGAAATACAAATTGAACACGATCATACATCAACTAACCGTTTGAAATACGTCTCACGCAACTCTATCAACATTCATATGTTTATGGGCCATATTGCAATGTCAGGATGCCATATCAGTCTTCCGGAAGATGATACTTCCCAACATCTCTGTCATCTTTCAGTGGACACCCGGTTCTTCTCGTGTTCTTCTGTACACCCGGTAACACACACTCACCAAGAAGTCAATGTTCCCCAAGACAATATCGCACGCTGTATGACGGACGCAATTCGTGTGAGTGTGTTTTTAACACAAATAAAATAAATTAAATAAAGTGTGAAATCTGGCAATAAACACTGTACAGATGAGTTGAGGAAGTAATTAGTAAATTATCATTTAAATTATTACTTAATCCTATCAGTTGAAACATTAAATCAGACACAACTTTTTATTTGTTTCCAATTTAAATTTAAATGAAAACGCAAAAATTCCTCTCATCAGTTCAGATCATCAATACGATCTTACACCCAAATTATATACTTGTATGTACAGTTATATTAGTAATTTTAAAAAAAACAACAGCAAGCCCTATCTAGTTCACAATGATCAGTGAGGTTCAAAATATGTGCGCCCACCCTTTTGCCTGCCACATATCAAATGAAAGGTTGTAGTTGGATAGATCCCTGAACATTCCAGCCATTTGGAAAATTTATTATCCTATTGGGAATCAACTTATTCCCTGTTGAAACAGAGTTATACAACATACACACGATGCCATTCCATGCTCTTTGGTATAGCAGCAAAATATTGTAGTTACAACTAAAATATGTTAGTAAAAATATATAAAAATTGCCTACATTTTCATAATAGTGGTATTATGGTTGAATGTGACGAATAATTTCAATAACACCGAATAAGTTCAGTCAAAATAAACAAATTAAAAATAAATAAATGATATTTATTTTAATATTTGCCGACATTTTGGCCATTGAAGTTGAGGAATTCATCAGGGCTAAGAAAAGACCAGATAATAATATGAGAAGTTATTAACTTACGTAGAAAAATAATATTAATAATAATGTGAGGAAAATATGAAAAAAATTAGTAACAATAAAATAGAGAAACTTATAAAATGACTAATTACGGAAACAAAGTTGGGACTAATGAAAAAAACTTGGTTAAATAAACTATGATAGAGTACTAATAAAATAAACATAATGAAATTAAGTAACAATAATGAAAATAAAAATTAACTAAAATAAGATAAAATGTAAGTAGTAGATATATAATAAATGGGCTGGTGGGTAGTTGCTAAAATATGATATCTTAAAATGTTAAAGAGCAGTGAAATAGAGAAAGAATAAAATGTAAAACAGAGAAAAGGAATATGAATTTATATAAAGAAAATAATAGATTTAAATAGAAAAATTAACACACTGTAAAATCTATCAAAAAATACTGACTACATAGAAAAAAAATAAGATGTAATGAGTAAATGTATCAATATACACAAACTAGTTAGTTATTCACAAAACAATTAGTTAGTTGCATATCTATTCATATTTTTTTTTTTCTCCTGACAGTTCAACATTACTGTTTATTGCAAAAAAATAATCATTGAATGAGTAATGACAACAATATTTTCTATCCACAATATTTAATATCAACAGTTGTTTATTTCTAATCTTCCTAAGTTTTAATCAATGGAACCGATTAGTTCAGGTTCTGATTGTATTATGTCAATCCAAATGCCATCGCAATGTCTTCTTTATTAAATAAGCTGCAAAGTCTTGCATACTTTATTTTACTGGACTCAATTCAGAATTAAATCATTTGGATATAGCCTTAAAAAATTAATAAT